CTCTCTCTCTCTCTCTCTCTCTCTCTCTCTCTCTCTCTCTCTCTCTCTCTCTCTCTCTCTCTCTCGTGATCTCGCTCTCTTATTCTTTCCCCCCCTACATGCAGTTATTTCGTTATGGTGCAATAATGCATCATCTCGGCTGGAAGAGCTTAACTTTACGATACCGCCATTGCATTTTTATTTGCCAAGAATAATCACCTCACTAATTTTTTATGAGTCTTCATAAGACGGCTAGTTGCAGCTGTTAAGATATATATTCAGAAATCCAATACAGTAAGTTATGTTATATTAAAAAATTTTAATCCTATAAGAAGCTTATTTATAGTAAAGCAATACATAGAAATTATATATTATCGATAATTACTTTGCGGATGCAACAAATGCAATTTTTGCAGAACGAAGCATCATACACGGAATAGTTGAGGTCTATCGGCTATTGTATCAGGCTATTATATCCGCGCGTATCGCAATTTAAAAAAAAAAGTTTAATCGACTGCATTTTTTATCTCGACAGTATTGAAATAATCTCAGAGAGTATTTTAAACGTACATACAACGAAATGTGTGAGCCTGCGCGCGTGTACAGCCACGATAACATTCATTTACTCGAAAATCGTTTACAAACTCGCATGTGCTCTGTTTCAATCGCATAATTGCTAAAACATAAACTTGCCATGAATTTTATCCCGCAGCGAAATCCGCACAATTAAATTTGACACATAAATCGATTTTATTACAACGAGCGATAGATAATCGCGCATACGGCGTATATCGCACTAATATGCATTGATGCTTCTCAATTCTTATCTGTTTATGAAGATCTCGTGCGTTTGTCGCGAGCACGTAGCCAATCGCATCGATTCATTGCGCAGAAAATCTCATTGCACACGTTCGAACGAATACGCCAAAATAATTTCCATATTCACACAAGCGATTGGTCATACGATGAATCTACTTTTCCAAACTCGATTTCCATGCGTTTCGCTCATAAATATTGTTTATAAAAAAAAAATATCGCCCGTTTCGATGGCCTTTCGATATATCGTTGTAATGAACACTCCACTCTGCAATATCTGCCATTACAGTACATATTTGAATTTTAATGACTGCTTTTTAAGTTGTAATGTGTCCTTCAATTTCATTAGTTTTTTATGTCAAGTTCTTTGCCAATTGATATAATTTTGAGCGTCAAATTAGATTGATTTATTATATTAATATTGATTTTATTTAAAAAAAAAAACAGAAAAATGTTCAATCGCTAATGCAGCATGTTGAAAAACAGGCAAAAATACTAAGAGAATGTATTTTATAGTAATTTTAAATACTTATATTTTAAATATATGAATCGAAGCTATTCTTTGATTAGGAATTACATTTTAGAATAATTCTATTTTTAATAAATATATTAAAAATTAATATTTTTAAATCTGGTTGTAAGTGTAGAAATTGTTTTATGAAATAAGTTTTAAAGCTGTAAATACTTCTTGAAACTTTATTATTTTATTAATTTCAAGTAACCATTAATAAAATATATTTTTGATAAAAAAATTTTAAAAGTTATAAACTCAAATGTTGGAAAAACAATGTTAAAAATTGTATTGAAATGAAATCTATTTCAAGCTATATTTAAAGAATCAGTAGAGATATAAGAAATGGTAAATTTATCGGGCGCAACCGGAAACAGCGCGCTGTATCGATGTATGTAGATACATGTTTGTGCTGACGTTCTGTAAAGTGTTTCGACGAATTCCGGCGTTATATCGCGTTCGATTTTCGGTCTCGCGCATGAAATAGGAAAGAATCCTTAGAATAAGACCGGGCGAATTGCATTCGCACTCGTCTCTATGTAAGTACAACGAGAGCAAACCGCAAACCGCGGAAAACGGCTTCCCGTCGTTGCATTTTTCAAAAAGCGCGAAACGAACTTTACACTCGAACCCACTCTCTAACGCCGATGATATCGGCAGTCTTATCAATAATAAATGTCACTTTTATCACGTTTGCCCGCGATGCGCTTTCGAGGTGCACGAACGCAAACTATATCGTTGACTCTTTTATTTTCAGATGCGCCATCCGATCCAAATGAAGCCGGCCGACAGCGAAAATCGGAATGGTGAGTGAAAATTTTTTAATTATTTTTCCGCAATGTGCGCTAAGGTTGCGAATTAAAATTTTAATATCGCGACGTGCTCAGATCGTATTGTAAGTAATGGCATCGAATTAATTAATTCTTAAGAAAACCAAAGTATTGTTTACTTCCTGAAAAAAGAAAAAAATTGTACTTTTGTTGCATACACTAAGCGATTGGTGATTGAGATAATAACAATTTAATTCTATCAATCGAGATTCATTAAAGCAAAAAACGTGCTAGTAGCAATACAGCAGCAAAAACATAATTTCGATAAAAAATAAAAAGACGTAACAGCATCTCGGGCTAAGTATACTTTTTGTAAAATAATCCGATCTGTTTCGTTAAAGACAAACTATAAATCCGAATTCTTTTCGTATGCATCGAATTTCTAGTTTTAACAAGAGATACTAAATCTTTTGTAATGTTAAATATAATAAGACTTCGAGCGTCTTGTTTAACGATCGCTCGATCGCTTCAAAGTTCTGGTACGATTAAGGACGAAATTCCGAGCAACGCGTGGCATGACGGTATAACCGAAAGAGAAGACAACAATAACGGTCGCGAAGGTAAAGTTAACTCTCTTCGCTCCGGCGGAGAATGCAGCTCAAAGCACGTTCATTAGATGTTAATTAATTGGCTGAATTGAGGGGCTTGTCGAGATTGCGTAGTCAAAGAAGACATAAGCGAGCTACGAAGCACCAAGTGGTAGGACGATAAGGTAGGCCAAGAGAATCGTGAGGGGCAGAGGCGAACAAATTTTGCCGACAACATAGAGGTACCAGAACGACGAAGGATCGGCTTGCACGCGAATGCTTACATGGCACGTTCCGCTTCTCTTTATCTTCTTAATCTCCTTTTTTTAAATCCTCGACTTTCATCATAGCAAGTTCACAATATTAGACAATATTGCATTGCTCGTATAAAAATACCGTGATAAATCACAAACATCATGTGAATACACCATATTATTCTAAATATTACGTAGATATTTTATAAATGTCCATTCAGGAAATAATTATTTTATATACAAGAGTGATATAAGAGTACTAGATACAAGGGTAATAGAATACTAGAATATTACAGTACTAGAGTACTAAATATGTAATACAAGAATACTAGAATAGGGATACAACTGAATGTGTGAACTGAATATAGATACACGAATAATCGAAAATTACTTAAATGCGGTTCTTTTCTTAACTATACTGATTTTAAAATTTATATTTTATAAATTCAAAATCTATTCGCTATATTTAGATATTAATATGCATTATAATTAATGAAATGTGTCTAACAAATCATAATTTAATGTCTGTTTTTGATAACGCTTATCAAAAGTAAAAAATACGAAAAACTAGGAGAAAGATAATCATCCCTCGTGATGCATGTATATTATTCATGTAGCAGATTTTACTTCGAGTTTTCCGATTTCTTCCAACCGCTTCCTATCGATCGCAAAAGGGGCCATGTAAAAATTCGAGAACGTCGAAAAGCGCATCGGATAGTGCTGCGAAAACCAACAGGAGAGTCAACGAACGCGGCAAAACGCGCGATTTTTTTACGGATAACTGCGCCGCGTTAGCAATAAAAATTCGACTACCGGCTGGACGGGGGTGTAACGTAAAGCGTATATAAAACCGGCCACGTCGGTGGGACGACGCAAAACGAATGCTAATGAAATATTAACGACACCCGTCACGTGCTGCGCTGGGCTGGACCGCTCGGTTCCTCTCTTTCCTCTCTCTTTTTTCTCCATTTCTTCTCTCTTTCTCTCTCGCATGATCGTTCACTCTCCCGTTCCATGCTTTTACCCTTTACGCTCCTTTTCCCCCTTTTTACTCATCCCGTTTGTCTTTCTCTTTTTTTTTATTTCGTGCCGCATAAGAACCCTTCCCCCTCACGAAGGATGCTCGCGCGCGGTCGTTTTTTTTTACATCGAAGCGCAACACCGTTACAGGCGCCCTAGCAGCGCTGTGTGCAAATGACATGCCAAATTGTAATCACGCCAAGATTCAAGCGGCTTTACACCTCGCGTTTAGCGTTAACCGAAACCTGATTCTGACACTTTGTTTGTTACGGTCGAGCTTGCGCAATTCCGCGAACAAGATCCTGGATCAAGTAACCGCGTTACATGGACCGACGCTCGATCCTGTTTACTAGCAGTTACGCGTTAAACAGAAGTTACTCCATTGGTTAACCATTCAATTGCAACGGTTTCGCAGTTGAACTTGCCTTAATTTTTCAATCGAATAGCAAAGGCAATACTGAATACCGAAAACGTGACTACACAGAAAAAAAATACAATATGACAAATAATTTGGAAAAAAAACTTAAATTTTCGGAACAATTCTTAAAATTTCTCTCAAAGCAATTAAATATGTTTTCTTAACAATAATCTAAAAGTAGAGAAAACTCTTAGAAAATAAAGCACAATAAATAAAATAACGAGTGAAGAAGAATAACATAACAAAAAATAATTTTGCCCAATCGTGTAAATGTAGGTAGATCATTCTTTTCCTTTTCTCGACGTAATTTCCATTAAAATTATATATTTTTAACAAAAATAAAATTTAAAATAATATTATTTATAGAGAATTAGAAGAGAAAAAAGAAATTTCTCTAAATTCGAATCGAATTGATAAAAATAAGATGTTGAAGACAGCGAAATATATATTATCTTATCTGTCATTTTTATCACTGCCACGATTAGACAATTTAATATATGAATTTATTATATGTAATTTAAAAAAAGTTTTTTAATTCTTATTACTAATTCATACATATTTTCATTGAAGATCTCTAAGTAACAGAATATAATACTAATATTATCATTATACGTTAAATATTTAAAACAGATATAACGAATGCAGAAATTAAAGCATATTAAATAGATGTAATGATAACAAATGTATAGTATGATATTCGGATGTGACGTTTAAAAATATAATGTGTAATGTGAAAAATAAAAAATCTATTGCAAATGTCACAGAAATAGCCAACGGAATTAAACGCTATGGATATTCATTATGTTTCAAACGAAATTTAGAATATTTTGCACAATCTTAATTATTTATTAAAACGATCGTAAGAAGTATAGCTGTGATAGTTGTTGCCCTGACTTATCTGGATTACCGCCGATAGGCAGGCAAAATCTCGTTTTACTTATGGCATAAGTAAAGCGAACGGAACTGGGGTACAAGTGCATAACATCCGTGGTTGTATATAAAAATGAATAGACACGACGTGGTGTAACCGAAACCGAGATCAGGCTATTCGTAACCACGCGCACGTGCAATACGGAAAAGGATTTTTCCATATAGGATGCGGGACGTGCGCGGCGGCGGCCGCCATGAATAGTGCCGTTGTAGCTACATGCAAATCCCAGTAAAACGGGAAAATAGTAAACAAGAGAGCGCACGTTATCCGGTATCAGAGCATTATAGTTGCCTTGTCGTTAGATGAATCTCATGAACGCCGCAACTGACGTAAGCCGAATTTAGATAAAGCAGCTCACAAGCTCGCTGTACAAAGCGCGAGATTAATCGCGAACGTAGAACTTACTTTCTCGAAAACATAATTGTACATAGATACAATATGCACAGTCCATTGATACTCTTGTATCAACCAAATTGTTTTATCGTGCATTACTTGAAATATTATAACATTTATGAGAATTCGTATTCGACATTTATCAGCGCAAATTTATGAATAAGGCTCCAAAGTGGAAGAATGATATTTAGTAGCAACTCTAAGTTGTAGAATTTCTCTTTCGATATATAATTTTTTTTTCGTAAAATTGAAAGAAATTCACAATGCAATATATTCGCCATTAGAACGATGTTAAACACAATTATTCTTATTTGATAAAATATTCTTCTGTTCGATCAGCGTAACTTCTCAAATAGTTCCATAAGACGAAGGTTTATTCAAGATAATGTAGGCGAAACTCAGCCCCACTTACCAATTCGAATCATCTCATGCTAGCGTTTCACTGCTGGCCTCACAATTGAGAAAACTGAATGGAGGACGAAGTTTATTTCTTGTCCTATAATTATTCCTGTCAATGACGTAGCGGCGGGTGAACCATTTTAGCGGTGTTTCCGACGGGATGCACACCGATCAAGGGACCTCTGTCACAACGTCAAGCGCGACAGCTCAACGAAAAGAAGAACGTAGAGAAGAGAGTGAAAGCTTTATTTATATCCGTGACATTCTGTTTATTTTGGCTGACGGACTAGGCCTCGCTCCGGGCTCTAGCTAGTAACGAGCTCTAGCTCGATCCCTTCCTTGCGAGTTCCATTTCGTCCCGACATTGTTTCAGTCCGATTACGTCACGTCTCAACAAACATGAGCCTCGAAAATAAATTAGATGTCGATTTCTTCATGGAAAACGATTACGACGCGCTAATATAGTCGCCCGTAACACGATATACACGCGTGCGTATCGGCCTGCAATTTAATCTTTCGTTTAAATTCTTCAGCCTATTCCTCTATCTTGAACCTGATACTAGTCAATGCATGTTCTATCTTCATTCTGTTATCAGAAGCTATGCATGCGAAAATAAACTTTACGAGGAATAAAGTCTGTAATAATGCTAACGAAAAATGACGAATGATATTGTTCTTGTAAAGAACGAAAATAAAGAACTTGTATAATGATGACTGACTTTATGTTGGTATAATCAAATCAAAGTCTAAAATGTACTGTAAATTGGACGTTTGCAAGGTATTCTAATTTATCAGATTTAGATGTCTTTTGACGAGAAATAAGTATTATTTAAAATATCATCATTTTATTTTTGTATCTTGAATTTTTTAATAGTCTTAAAAATAATTACGATGATTTTGATAAATTCGTAAAAATTATTTGAACATAATATTGATTATTTTATCTATTGCAAATTTTTTTATTTAAAGCATGTACTTATGTTTCTATATTTTGATTTAGCAATTTAAAGATTTTTAAGAGGAGAAAAAATTTC